TTTATCTGATTTAATTAAATTAAAACTTTATTCATTTGTTTCATTTCATATGTATATCAGGCAGGCTATACACTTACTCACTCAAAAACACGTGCATATGCGTATTTATTTGTTTTTTTTGTACGTCTTTTTGTATGTATGTTTGGTTTTTTGGCTGGCTGGTGGTAGGTTGGTTGAAAGGTTGATACTTTGGCTGTTTGGTTGATAGATCGGTTGTTTCGTTGGTTGATCGGTTGTTTCGTTGGTAGTTTGGTTGACTGTTTGGTCGGTATGCTCTGTGTGTGTACGTGCGTGTGTGTGTGTGTGTGTGTGTGTGTGCGTGTCCAAGCTGGTGTACTTGAAACCGCTCCTTTCTTACTCTACCATTTAAGAAAAAATTTTGTTTGTATATGTGTGTGTGTATTTGTTAATTTTTTGGTGACATTATTTGTTTGTTTCTCAGTTCGTTCGTTTGTTTGTTGATTTATTCATTCATTTGTTTTAATAGTTATTTAAATTTGGACATAATATTTGAAAAAAAATTTGATGTTTATCGAATATGCTGATTACCTAACAATAGAACGTTTTCAATGTCTTTCACGCAGTTAAAATTGTTCTCACATCGTCAATGCTGTCGTTCAATCAACAGTCTAATAACGAACCTTCCAAAATAATTCACATTTTGACTCGTTTCAATTAATTTCGACAAATTTCAACTTGAATTCGAGTGACTTTCAAGCTATAATTGCACTTGCTCGGCTCGGCTCGCGATCGAACCCTCTACGAGAAGGTCTACAGAAAACGGTCGGCACTAATATTGGCCGGACCGCTCGAAATCTTGATGTTTTCGGTATGTAGTATCATGATTCGACTAAATTGTTATCATTACCTGTGTATCACCAAATGCACAGTATAGCACGATTTTTTAATGTGACGCTGATATAGTAACGAAATTAATAATAGCAATAGACAAAAAGGTCAGTAGCCATGCAGTAATAATACTTATTCAACGAGTTCGTATAATCACACCTACTTACATTACTTATACTTGCACGCACACGCACGCGCACATACACACATACATAAGCTACATAAGCACGTACATGATGATCGTACGATCAACCAACATATGGAAGGAAGTTTTTTTATTTATATTAAATCACTTTGTTTTTAAGATTTATTGAAAGATAAGTATCATTGAAACGGGATTGGTAATTCGGAACGAAACCGTTTGGGGAAATGACGTCATTTTAAAAGTAGTTTCACAGTATGTTAGTGAATTTGCCAGAATAAACATTGTATTCGATTCCTATAAATAGATAGATATGTGTAGTTATTAAATATATATATATATATATATATATATATATATATATATACTAGCTAAATAAATATATATATATATATTTATACATTTAAATTTTACAATTAAATGGAAGTAAGGTGTGTGGAGTAAAATTATTTTGAATTCTCTCGGAATAATTTGATTTGAACCGCACGCGTACATACACATGTAACAGATTTCTGTTGGTTTTATAAAGAAGTTATGTAATANATATATATAAAGAATTTAGAATTCATGTATACAAATAATTACTATGATTATATGTCTGC